CCAAATACGGAGACATTTTTAAAAAGTTATTTATATATTTATTTATTTAATTCTTCCCGAGAGACCATCCTCCCCCCACTCTCTGAGAACATGTGGTCTGTGATTATAAAGCATATTCCCCGCTGGTGATTAGGGTGCCTATGAATAACAGCGGGGCTGGAGGCCAGTGAAAACAAGGGGAGTGAAACAAATGAACCACACACATATCTCGGCTCAGGGGTGAGTCATAAACACACCAAAGGTTAGAAAAACACGGTTGGGTGCCAGCGTGAAGGCGAGGTGAGTGTCTGTGAACACCACCGAGAAACGCCATCTCAAAGAGACAAGCAGAGCCGATAAACTGCAGGCCAAGGGTCTCATGCCCACTGTGTGTGTCCGTCTGCAATGCAGGCAAATTCATTTACTCGACAGGGATGACGTTCTTGTATTTTTATTTTTTTGCTAAATGTTCCCTTAAATGTATTTCATGTAATGTGATGCATGCTGAACAGTGGTTTGCTTTTGCAAAAGTTGAATCTTGTAGTAATCTGTTTTAAGTCTATATGAATTCTCAAATTCTTGACTTGGACTATATCAATGATCAGGTTGCAGCAGTCGATGAAATGCAAGTAGCACTAGCAACATAACTTTTCTTCCATGCTATGATGTATTTCTGAGTGGTAATGAATTATCAGAAAATAAAAACTTTAGGATGGGTTCTAGGCATTATTTATTGATTTGATTTGGAGACTTGGGTGCTGAAAAAAAAATGCTTGAAGGGGCAAAGTTTAAGCTGAAAGGTCCAGTTATGGCTTTTTTGTTATTAAACATTATAGATCAAAACACTTTAAGATCGAAACACTAACATTAAGATTCATAACATGCATTTAGAAAACAGATAATAGTGAATTTTCAATTCATGCCAACTGTAGTAGCTCACTGGAAAGGAAAAACGAATGGTAATGTTAAATAAAAAAATTGTAACCAAGCATATGGCTTACAAAGTCATTAGGTTTATGTTGACTTTGCATCTTTTTTGAAGCCTCAAAGCTTTAATCTCCAGTCAATATAACTGATTGTGAAAAAGGACAATAGATTTTCAAAATTACACTGTTTTGTGCTCAAGGTTTGGGAAGACATGAGCAAATAGTTTAGAATTAGAATTGTTATATTGTCATTTTTATTAATTTAAGGAAAGTTCCTTTCCAGGACACTAGAGGGCATTGCTTCTTAATGTCATGTCTACTGATTTATTTAATAAAACCTCATGGAGGCAAGTATTGGTGGTGAGTCCTGAGAATACAGCAGCATTCATTTTCATTAGAGGTGCAAGAGCAGTGTTCAGAATATTCTCTGCCTGTTCCAAAACTGGCATCAAATGAATTGCATAATTATCGGAACATTCACAGATTATGATAATTACACACATATCAGTTGCACTTATTGCCCAAATTGCGTTTAATTGAGCAAATATTTATCCAATTTCCAACTCAATGGAATGGCTTAATTTTTTAAACAGAACATCTTTATTCTGTTCAGTAAAGGATCCAACATGCTCAAATCCTGTTGTTGATCATTTGTGTTGACCTGTTGCAGCTGGTTTGCATGTGTTGGAATCTGATTCCTCTTGAAGTGTTTTCCAGCTTGTTAAAGAAATGAGAGACAAAACTACAGCACTCTGAAAGAAAAATGCAGACGTTTACGGGACTCTTGTTAAATTGCCCACATCAAAATGAAACAGCCTCTCGCCAATAATTGGCAGCAGAGTTAGTTTTACATAAACACTCAGCCTGGGGCAGAGCATGGGGGCAGATAGTGGGCTAAAGATGGAAGAAAGCACAATACAAAATGTGGTAAGGGGTAGATTGGGGCTGGACAGCGGCAAACAGGCGATTTAAGCATAGGATGATATATAAAATCTTCAAGTGTTGATGTTGGACGCTTGCACTTGTGAAGTCAGTGGGCTGACATGTGTTGGAGAAAGTCTTGTTGAGCCTGTGCCTAAATGTCCGGCAGAGTGAGATCTCACACCTGGGGTTTCAGTAAACAGTGACCTGACAGAATCCCTGAATTCTGGGTTAGGGCTAATGCTAGTGAAGCTTAAGCAAGACAACATTTCTAGAGAGAAAGTGTGTGTGTGTGTGTATAGTTAGCTATAGTTTCCAGGCTAAACAGGCTAAACCTAACTGTCACCAAAAGTAAGCTAAGCATTCAAACATCCAAGGATGTCCTCAACTGTAACACAAAAACAAAAATGTAAAAATGAAAGCTACGTATAGAGATGCGCTGAATCTGGCAAAACCTGGATTATTTTAAAGTGGTTCTCATTTGGAAACATTAAATAAATAAATCCTTCAAGGAGTAGGGTTAATTTTAAGTAATTAACTTATATAATTTAATATTAACTTACAAAATGTGCATATTTAGCTATTGTTTGGTGGCAAAACTGAACTAAAAGTGATCTAAATGTGAAAATGAGCTAACTATTAAAACAATAGAAGTCTTTTTAGATAGCTGAGTAAATATGTGTGTGGGTGGGTTTAATTAAAGTATTCCACCAGGTAGTATTTGTTTAGATAGTCTGTTAACCACAGATGGAATGTAATCTGTCTAAATGAGTGAAGGTTCACATTTATTGCCCACAGCAACCTGGAACATTCCAAAGCCGCCGATGACAACTTTATGATTAGAACTAATTCACTCCTTTGTGTCTGCATGTGTTGCGGCTTTTATACAAATGTACTGAGACTTTACACCAAATGAATCTCAAGGGGAAGAATGTATGTGGACTGTCCTCAGAGTGCTGAAGATGGTATCCTGAGTAAATGTAGTCTGTCTCTGGAGTCCACTAGTTTTCATTACCATATAAACTGGACTTTTGCTTGCATTTACAGAGGCACTGAGAATTACAACAGTATTTGTTGACTGAAGGAAATCTCATAAGAGCACAAGTATTAAGAACATAAACAAGTATCACCTGCCAATATAGAAGGATCTTTTGTGTAATGTTACTCATTTGAATAGTGCCAAATGTTGCAATAACAGACAGACACCTGAATGATAGCAACTGCCAACAGGATGGCCAAAAAAGAAAAAAAGAAAATTCAACTTACCTGCAGAGGCGTGCCTGACTCTCAGCAAATATGTGCACACACACAGCACACACACGTTGTTCGTTGATGAAAAGGGTATTGTCTGGTTTCTGAAAGACAGTGTTGTCTAATGGTTTGTGTTTCCTTGACTCTGTGGAATGAGGTTTGTAGCTTCCTGATACACCCCACCTCATTACACTAGTCTTCCTCCTTAATCTTCCACCTGAATGTACCTGCTCAAGATGAGGAGAAAAGAATGCTGAGGGGAAAGAGTACTACTAAATAAACTGAGAAAAAAAATATTAATGTTATTTTTGTTAGAGAACCTTGCTCTAAAGTAGTGGCTCTTAACCAGGGGTTGGGGGCCCTTTAAGGGGGTTTTGCAAACTTCCAAGGGGGCGTTAAGATGACTTGATTGATTTAAAATAAATGATGTAGGCCTAAAATAAAACAAAACAAGCCTTGAAGCTAAAACAACTAACAATCTAAACTTCTTTCTTTTTTTGTTAATTTCAAAACGTATGGATACATTTGGTTCATTTTAATTAGAATTATTGGAGTTACTTATTTTAATCTTTTAATATTGTTGTGAACAGTGGGCCTTGTAGTCAAAAAGGCAGAGAACTGCTGCTTTAAAGTAACAAGTGCATATAAATGAATAATAATGTAATTAATAAGCATAAGAAAATGTATCATGCACATAAATAAAAATAAGACATTTAACATGCACATTAAAGCTGAAGTGTCACCTTTTAATGGTAATATACTTTTTCCCAAGTGACAATTATAGATATTAAATTTTTAGACTGGTTTCTCTAAAAGTATAACAATTTGGACAAAACATTTCAGTTTGTTTAAGAAATCCGACCAGCCCAACACAGCAACAGTGACACAATGAATAGCAGGAGTTTAGGGCGGGGCCACCCGTTTGACTGACCAATGACAGAATGGGTGAGTGTTTGGAAAACAATCATTGTTTTAGCAGTTCTGTTTGGTGTCGCTAGTGGCACAGAAATCATACACTTTTTTTCGTGCACACACACACACACACACACACACACACACAGTATCATTTCACTACATCAATAGAAACTCTGCGTCTGGTCTCTCTCCCGTTTTTGTCCATTCCTTCTTTATTTCTAACTAACCATCTTTCTCTCTTGTTGAGTAAATGTCAACACTCTACCTAAATTCTTCATTTATTTTCTCTGCTGGAATTCTGTCATCCAATCTCTCGTTCGCTATTCTCTCTTCCAGCGTTGTTCTCTTGGGTGGAATCGGCATGTTCTTATTGGGGTCTCTTTCCTCCTCTCCTCTCTTGCCCTCTTTCTCTCTCGCCGCGTCTCTGAGGTGGTAGAACAGTAGGCCGTGTAGCAGCGCAGTAGGAACAGTTTGTGTTGAGATTTTTGAGCTGTAGCTCTTTTCTTCTTATGTTTTTCATTTTTCCTTATTTTCGTTCCCTTCATCATCTTTCCCTGGGAAAGCAGGCCTGAGGGAACAGATGGAAGGACATATTAAAGAAAAATGTTCACTTATTCATCTTACTAGGTTCACAACAGACCGTTCTGTGTTCTGTGCCTGATTATGAATGACAGAAAAACGATTTACCATGTATCTTATTTTTTAAAGGGATGGTTCACTCAAAAAAATTAAAAATAAATAAATAAATACATAAAATAAAATGGTCATCATTTACTCACTCAAACCTGTATGACTTTCTTTTTTTCTGTGGAACACTCACAAAGATATATATATATATATAAAAAGTCTCAGACTCAGGTTTTTTGTCCATATAGGTAAGTCAATGGGGTTCAAACAAAATGTCTTTTTGTGCTCCAAAGAAGAAAAAAATCATACATGAAACGATATGTGGGTGAGTAAAAGATGACAGAATTAAATTTTTTTGTGAACTATCCCTTTAAACATTTATGTTAATTCATGTCTTTAAACTCTAAAGCTAAAATGGTAAAATTACCTTTCTTTTTGTTGTCAGTTTACCTTTGTTAGTAAGCTAAGAGCACTAGAGTACTAGCTTAGCACAATGCTAACTATTTAAAACAGCTCTTTTGATTAGCTAGAACAACATATACTTTAAGGTCCCAGTGGACAGAATCAATTTTCATTACCTGCTAAATAAGTTGAACAGTTCCTGGCAGCATTCTGGCACAAACGCTGAAATAAAAAAAAAAAGTAGATGTAAGCTTTTTTTAGCTTACATCTCAAAGTTGTGTTTAAATGTATAGATTTTAAGAGGTGTTCACTACATGATACAAATGTGGACCATACGTTAATTTCCTCTGTAATACCATACCACTTTTTGGAAAGTCTGAGTCAGGCAGGAGTGTGCAAATGTCCACATGCATGTCCAAGGCTTTCATATGTTTTCAATCACATGAACATGATTATGTGTCTGACATATCACTGCTCCAGCCTGTGTTTCATTCCCACCTATTTATCAAATATCAGGCCCTGGTAACCTGGTATCCATGACGACCCGATTGTCACGGTGATCGCATCTGTCCAATTAGTTGTGGTTCATTACTGAGGGATCTCCGCCACGGGACTGAAACAGACCTGATTAGAGCTGCGAAAGGAGGGCCAGCACTCTTCTGTACAGGGGGGAGATGGGTAAGGGCTCTTAAAGCAGAGACCCCCAGGAGACTCACTCTGTCAGGGGCAAGAAGAGGTCAACAGGAGGTTCTCAGCTCAATCATAGGCTGTCATCATCTCTGAATGTCACTGCTGTAATCAGTGAAGGCAGCATCAAACCATCCTCACAGAACAGAGTCAGGAGAGCCATCTTGTAAATGAATACCCAGCATGCTGCCCCTAAACTTTGCCCTTTGACCCAGAATGTGGGTACACGAGCAAGAGAATTTTCAGTACACGTCATCAACGATGATTGATTTCATAAAACACCATTTAGTATATTTTTTAAGCCTTTTGGTTTACGGGGACACAGGAAGTGTCCTCATAAACCATGTTTATGTTGTTGTACTAATTTGTGTCCTCATAAACCATATATATGAGAACACACACACACACACACACACACACACAGGTTTGGAACAACTTGAAGATCAAGTCAAGTCAAGTCACCTTTATTTATATAGCGCTTTTAACAATACAGATTGTGTCAAAGCAGCTTTACAGCATCAAATAGGAAAATAGTGTGTCAGTAATGCAAAAGGACAATAGTAAACACTCAATTTTCAGTTAAAGGCAGTTCATCATTGAATTCAGTGATGTCATTGTCCAGCTCAGTTCAGTTTAAATAGTATCTGTGCAATCAAGTCAATGATATCGTCCCCAACTAGGGATGGGTATCGTTTACATTTGATCGATACTGATACCAAAACCGATACAGCTTATCGATACCGGTACTTATCAATAATGTTATCAATATTATTTGGTAGAAAAGATATGATGTGAAAAGTTATTGAAAATTTCAAGTTATTGTATTACTGCTGAACTTTAGCAACTGTATTAAAGTTCTTCAGTCAAGAGCAGTGAGTTATTTTTCACTTTGTGTTTTATTTTAGTAATATTAAAAGAATAGTTCACCCAAAAATGAAAACTGTGACATCATTTACTCACCCTCAAGATACCCCAGACCAGAATGTGTCTCCCTCCTCTGCTGAACACAAAAGATACCTAGCTAGGGTGAGCAAATGATGATAGAATTCAAAATTTGGGGTAGACTATCCCTTTAAAGGCTTAGTTCACCCAAAAATGAAAATTAGCCCATGAATTACTCACCCTCAAGGCATCCTAGGTGTATATGACTTTCTTCTTTCAGACGAATCCAGTCGGAGTTATATAAAAAATTGTCTTTGATCTTCCAAGCTGGTTAATGGCAGTCAGCGGGTGTTGCAGTTCATCAGTCCAAAAGACGTGAAATAAAGCGCATGTATCCATAATAAAAAAGTGCCTCACACGGCTCCGGGGGGTGAACAAAGTCCTCCTGTAGTGAATCGATGCGTTTTTGTAAGAAAAATAACCATATTTAAAACGAAATAACTAATTTAATATAGCTTGCACTCAATGTTGTACATGGAAGCAGTTCCAGGCGGATGAAGTGACGAACGTGGAAGCGCAGGAGAGAGATCAAAACAAAACAACGGTCATGAATTAGAAGTACAAAACTAGGATTTGTAAAGAAGAATGTCTGAGGATTTTCGATATAAGCCAAGAGGAGACTGGTTTTCCTTTGCTAAAGTAAGGAAACTTTGCTTCCTTTGATCCTGTAAACAAACGTTGGTTTTCACGAGACTCACTGGCACATGCGCAACGCCGACATCTTACGTCATCCTCCCGGAGCTGCTTCCGTGTACAACTGTTGGCGCAAGCTAGATTAAAGTGATTATTATGTTTTGAATATGGATATTTTTCTTACAAAAACGCATCGATTCGCTACAGGAGGCCTTTGTTCACCCCCCGGAGCCGTGTGAGGCACCTTTTTAGTATGGATACATGCACTTTATTTCACGTCTTTTGGACTGATGAACTGCAACACCCGCTGACTGCCGTTAAACAGCTTGGAAGATCAAATTCAGTTTTTAATATAACGCCGATTGTATTTATCTGAAAGAAAGTCATGTACACCTAGGATGGCTTGAGGGTGAGTAAATAATGGACTCATTTTAATTTTTGGGTGAACTATCCCTTAAACACTGACCTTGTTACTGTTCCTTTTATCTTCAATCTACATGTTAAAATATTTCTTGTAAATATACATTTCCAGGGTATAATCCAGGATTTACATTTATTAGAATGGACAACAAAAACTGAAAAATCTATGAAAAAAGTATAAACAGAATGAGATGAAAACCACCATCATGTTCGTGATAAATTCGTGACCAATCAATGTCTGCTTTGCAAAATCAATATTGATAGTTCTCAAATTTACACTCATCACCACTCTGTATGTGAGGGTGTGTTTCAGCTCCCTGTGGTAGAGCTTCAGTAAAAACAATAATAAGGTCTTAAACAAAGGCTCTACTGTAACAGAGTGAAACCTGCTCCTCTGCTCTCTCCAAACCGCTGCCATGCTGTCCATCAAATCCCTGAGTTTATCTAAAGTAAACCCTAACACTTTCACTGTTTTATGTCCTTCTCCCCCTTACACTTAATTCTATGTTAATGTCTTTTCGAACCCTAAATAAAGGAAGATTTTTCACTGGGTTAAGCAACATTTCATGTTTTTATTTTTATTTTTTGCACTTTTTTGCACTTTTAGTAGGTTAATACCAGAATTACCGAAATATATAATGTAAAACAGTATCAATATTAGAATGCTACAGAAAGTTATTCAGCAACTTTTTTAGTTAAATTACCTCATTAAATATTCATGCGCTATGTAAAGTCACAGAAGCTTTCACATGCTGTTTAGTTTCATCATCTAAAACTGGACCTGACAGTCCATGTTTAATTAATAACCCACAACAAAGTGAGCAGTGGGAAACATATAATGATAATAGGAAAAATTTATAAATATCTTCATATTTACTTGCTATTATTCTATCTCGTTCACTGAATCGCTGGCCGTCTCAGTGATCCGCCGTAAAACAGTGATTCTGTCCTAATTCCCTTGCATATTAATGGTGGAGTTCCCTTTAAAATCTTAAATGATTCCCTTTGAGCTAAATTATTATCACTGTTTCCCTTACACGTGTACAACTGTTGGCGCAAGCTAGATTAAAGTGATTATTATGTTTTGAATATGGATATTTTTCTTACAAAAACGCATCGATTCGCTACAGGAGGCCTTTGTTCACCCCCCGGAGCCGTGTGAGGCACCTTTTTATTATGGATACATGCACTTTATTACACGTCTTTTGGACTGATGAACTGCAACACCCGCTGACTGCCGTTAAACAGCTTGGAAGATCAAATTCAGTTTTTAATATAACGCCGATTGTATTTATCTGAAAGAAGGAAGTCATGTACACCTAGGATGGCTTGAGGGTGAGTAAATAATGGACTCATTTTAATTTTTGGGTGAACTATCCCTTAAACACTGACCTTGTTACTGTTCCTTTTATCTTCAATCTACATGTTAAAATATTTCTTGTAAATATACATTTCCAGGGTATAATCCAGGGTTTACATTTATTAGAATGGACAACAAAAACTGAAAAATCTATGAAAAAAGTATAAACAGAATGAGATGAAAACCACCATCATGTTCGTGATAAATTTGTGACCAATCAATGTCTGCTTTGCAAAATCAATATTGATAGTTCTCAAATTTACACTCATCACCACTCTGTATGTGAGGGTGTGTTTCAGCTCCCTGTGGTAGAGCTTCAGTAAAAACAATAATAAGGTCTTAAACAAAGGCTCTACTGTAACAGAGTGAAACCTGCTCCTCTGCTCTCTCCAAACCGCTGCCATGCTGTCCATCAAATCCCTGAGTTTATCTAAAGTAAACCCTAACACTTTCACTGTTTTATGTCCTTCTCCCCCTTACACTTAATTCTACGTTAATGTCTTTTCGAACCCTAAATAAAGGAAGATTTTTCACTGGGTTAAGCAACATTTCATGTTTTTATTATTATTTTTTTGCACTTTTTTGCACTTTTAGTAGGTTAATACCAGAATTACCTAAATATATAATGTAAAACAGTATCAATATTAGAATGCTACAGAAAGTTATTCAGCAACTTTTTTAGTTAAATTACCTCATTAAATATTCATGCGCTATGTAAAGTCACAGAAGCTTTCACATGCTGTTTAGTTTCATCATCTAAAACTGGACCTGACAGTCCATGTTTAATTAATAACCCACAACTAAGTGAGCAGTGGGAAACATATAATGATAATAGGAAAAATTTATAAATATCTTCATATTTACTTGCTATTATTCTACGGTCTATACCTACAAAAATAATTCCAAATGAAGCCAAAGTGTTGTACTCGTGTATGTTTCTCACATTCCTGAATGAATCAGTTTTTGATTTGAATTGGTTTGACTGAATGATTCATTGACTAACTTATAAAGACCTGCAGAAAGACTGGTTAATAAAAACAGTAGCATTGTTAAATATTACATATGATTACAATTGATACAACTGTTTTGTCTTTTAGTATATTTTAATAATATAGCATATTTTAATAATTGTAATATTTATAGTATATTAAATAGCATTATAGTATATTTATATTATATAGTACCGGTATGTTTCTTATGAAGATCTGAGATGATCGAACACCTGAGAAGAGATGATGCCAACCCCTCAGAGGACCTCAGATGACAACAACCCTAAACCAACACTCAAAACTACCAAATGTTCCTATTAGTTATTGCTGTTATATTCCTATAAGTTATAGTCATTGCTGTTAATAGTCTTCACCGTTTGTTTGAATACATGTCATTGATTAAGTGGATGATTTTTTACTGTACATTTCTACCATAGGACCACCTTGACACAGTCACCACTGATAAACTACTCCTTGATGTAATGTAGAAACTTTAATTTTCTGTAAAGTTGCTCTGCATCATGAAAAGCGCTATATAAATAAAAGTGAATAGTATGTCATTTATAGCTTTATTGGCAAAGCTGAATTTTCAG